TTTTTTTATCCAATCAATCCGGGGGGGGGGGGGGCAAGTGCCCCACCTTGCCACTACCTGCGGGCGCCCATGCGGAGGAGTAAGACTAAGACTGACGAATTGAGCAACTGAAACTCTCCCTCATTTTAAACAAAATATATATCAAGTCAAGGCTGCTACTCAGTGGAATATTGTCTTGGTCAACCAGTTAGGTGTCTCAATTTACATACATACCCAGTACCGTACGTAAAAAGTCATACTGCGGGGTTTGGTTTTTTTGTGAGTTGAATTTGTTGTTAATTAAAATAATTTAAAACAAAAAGAAGGGAATCTACACTACACATTTTTAAATTAAAAAAAAAAATGGTCAAATAAAAAAATATAAATGAATCTGTGTGCTGTGGGGAATGTGGAACTTTTGCGTTCATTGTTGGTAAATTTGTACAGATATATTTGTTGACGGTAACATTAAATATTAACAATGACTTAAGTTATTAATTGAAAATATCTTATGTTCTGGAGGTCTTTGATTTTTAAACAAAATTACGAATGTTCCTATTCACTATTCCCAAACACATCTTTCCGGAAGTCGCATTACATCTTGCTTCATCAAAACAAATTTTATTTTTTCATTTAAAAAAAATCTGTAACCCGTAGGTTAAAATCCTACTAATAGTAATAGTATAGGAACTTGATTTTAATCAAGGAAGTTATTTTGAATTTTTGGGCAGACCATAGGCCAACTGCAGTAGGCAGAAGCCACTTCAGCAGATCCTGAGTCTGAAGAACAAGATTAGTCCCGGCAGTTACTTAAACTTAAACTAAGTTAGTGTTAGTGTGAGTGAGATTTTACTACTTTCACTTCAACTTTAAGCAAATGGTAAAAGTGCAGTTCAGGTGCGTATATTATTTCTTAGCGCATTTTGTGTTTTATAATGTAAACTTACGTGTATTCTTTATAAAAAGTATTTTAAAAGTAAAATACCATCTTTTTATTGGAATACAACAACAATTTAACAAATTTTACGAGATAAAAAAAGTCTTTTACAGAGCCATTGTGGTAAATCATGGATAACTCTTCTGTCTTTGAAGATACGTTATAAAAGTTGCCCAATTGGATGAATCTTGGTTTAAAAAAATATGCATTTATTTTATAACTTAAACTTTACTTTCAAATAAAACCGGATTTGCTCGGGATTGCATTCAGAAAAAAAAACATCTGCTACGTCCTTTTAATTCACATTGCTACTAAGCGAAATAATCAACATCGAAACAACACCACTATAGTAAAAAAAAATTAATTAATTTGTCTCAAATAAAAACCCTTAAAATTAAATAACTTATGTAAAACTTTCGTTTTTCCCGTTTTCCGATGGGATCCAGATTCCGGTAGAATCCTGGTCATGGTGGGATCCCGATCCTGGTAAGATACCGATCTCGGTGAGATCTCGTTTCCGGTGGTATCCCAAACTAAATGAAATCCCAAATGGGAACCCATTTCCGGTGAGATCCCGGTGGAATCTCGATTCCGATCGGATCCCGTTTCCGGTGATATCCCGATAGGATCTTGATCCCAGTGAGATCCAGATCCCGATGGGATCCCGATCTAGTGGATTCCCGATACCGTCGGGATACCGGTTACGGTGAGTTCCCGTTTCCGGTGAGATCCAGATCCCGGTAATTATAGGGAACTCACATGCTTGACATATGTAGCCAGTTTACAAACCACATTGCAATTGTTACCAGCGCCTTACCAACAATTCCATAGTTGTATTAACGTTATTTGTTGCCTCACAAAGTGCGCGTTTAAACCAAATGCTAAAAATTTCTCTTGGATCAACAATTTCAATTATTGTTTCTTGGTTAACAAAAGGATCCCACTACCAGCGACACTGCAAAACGAGTCCGTCTTATTACTAATCACTAGCCCTCACCCTTATTTTACTCAGCGCAAATATTCACCATTAATAAGCGCATTTGCATACGGAAAAAGGGGAGGGGGTGCTCAAATTAGAGCTGACCAATCACGGACAGCGTATTTGCAGCCTTTAGTATGAGATGACTATCAATAAATGACCCCACGCTATCATTCCGATTTCCCCCATTTCTGCAACGTCATAAATATTTATTTTTTTAAGTGGACATGTGATCACACATTGGCACATAACATATTCGTAGAAAAATATAATTATAATAATGTAAAATAGAATAAAGTCGGTGATCATCTTCTACACCCCCCCCACCCCCTAAGACTTCAAGGGACAATCCTTATATTCTGAGCGCTCTGAGGGAAAAAAAAAAAAAGAAGGTGGGGTGGGGACGTGGAAGGGGGCGCTCGTGCGTAATGAAAAATCTAGTATTTCATTTTTTGGATTTTAAATGTGGAATGTAAATAGAACCTTCTAGAAAATATAGAAACTTCATAAAATGTATATAAGTATAAGTAATTCTGCAATACTTAGAAACATGGCCGCCGAGAGGATTATTAAGGGCTGGAACAAGACTAAAAATGGTTTGAGTATCATATTCTTTGTTATTGTTATTATTTTGTATCGTCTTTTGTAACGAGCCATACACTTGAATAAGAGATTAAATTCTCCATACTGATTGTAACATTTATTTTCTATTGATGTACGTTAATAGTACCCTGGAGAGGGCAGAAGCTGCGATCTTTTCCCTTCATATTTGGGTACGTTCATGTAGTACAAAAAGGGGTAAAAGTTCAGTTCATAGTGCTGCATCTAGAGACCGACCCGAAAGTGATTTTTTTTTTATTTCGGTCGAAACCGAAACTAGGCCGAAAGTTAAAAAATGACTTTCGGTCGAAACTGAAACTTTAAAGAGACTTTCGGCGGAAACCGAAGCCGAAATTAAAAATCTTTTTCTTCTTCTTATGCCTTTATACCCAGTCTGGGACATAGGCCATCCACAATAATTCTCCATTCATCACGCTCATGTGCCTTACTTTCCACCGGAGAGCAGAACCCCACCGGGGAACAGGATCCCACTGGAAATAGAGATGCCACCGGAAATAGAGATCCCATCGGAAAACTTTATCCCACTGGGTTCAGGTTCACAAAGGGAATTTGGATTCCATTGGGATTGGGATCCCATGTGTTGGGATCCCAATGGGGAAACAATCATTTTGGGAAACGGGATCCTATTGTATCAGGATCTAACTGAAGTGATCCCATACTGGAGAATGGGATCAAAACTGGGAAGGGATACCACGGGGGATCGGGATACATTTCGGATTGTATTTTATTATTTTTTTTCTTGGGAGAAGAGAAAATTAAAAAAAAAATTATTTATGTGTTTTTACAGACCAATTAATTTAGATGTTAGCTATATATATGTATAGCATCCTTCCGTCTAAAACAATTTTTATTAAATTTTGAATGCCATCATAAGCGACGCCGTGTATTTATCTAGTTTTAGGAAAAATTAAATTCATGAGTTCATCACCCTTTAGAATATGTGAATATGGAATTATATCTATACATCACATATAAGAAAAAAAACAGGAATTTTTGGCCCCTATCCCAAAACAGAACATCTAAGTCGTCCGTTCCTCCCCCCCCCCCCCCAACATTTTTTTTTTCTCCACTATTTCTTTATTTTTTGGTGAACATGCCTACAATTTGAAATTTCGTTTAGCATACTATAGGTGATTAAAAATCTGACCATAGGGTGAAAAAAAAAATACAAAGCAAATGGGGCTATGTGTCTTTGTTTGGGGGTGTAAAGATGATTTAGAAATCAATAAAAAGGTCAGGGTCATGGCGCCTGTGTAAAAATAAAATAACTTAAAATGTAATGAAAAATGTCTGCCTGTACATAAATTTCGTGGTAAAAGTAGCTACTTTATTGTATCCGTCTAGATATGTGTCAAGAAGCGTCAACGACCTTGGTTTGCTCCCTTTCCTCGGGTAATACAGCCAGTACATAAATTTCGCTGTGAGCCTATCTACTTTATTGTACCCCTCTAGATATGCGGCAAGAAGCATCTACGACCTGCGGTCGCACCCTTTCCTCACGTAATTTCAAGCCAGTGCACACACAAAATAATTATAAAATAATGAAAACCCACCTTACAGTTTCATAAAATACACTTTTACACTCTTTATTTCAGGTTTCACTGAAAAGATTATCCAAAAAATGTCAGAAAACGAATAATATACAACACCATATCCATTTTAAAATTATAATTAATCAACCAATCAAATTTTGATTCAAAACATTCCATCATATTAAGGAAAATTTAACTGTAGTAACAAAATGAAGGGGAGTGAAACCAAACAGAAACTTAACTAAAACATAAAAATGACGGCATGGCGCAATCTCCTTGCATTGAACATATTTGGTAATCTTGCATTTAAGCTGTTTAAACATCGTGTAAGTTTATGAAGTGTGATATATTTTACTGGCCTTTTCTTGTTATTTTAAAAAAAAATTATTTATAAGATTAATAATTATAATAAGATAAGAATAAGAAAAAAAGATTCTTTTATTAATCCAAATAAATGGAAATATTTTTTTGAATACATTATTGATAACATATTCATTTGGGCATGTCACATAGAAAAGTATTCTTACCAAGGCCAAGACAACATTTTTAAGCTAGAACTCAGCATCTCATCTTCTAAATTTTCCAGGCTCTCTAGATTCTTTCTTTTAATATTAACCTTTGTTGAAATTCCTGCTTGGCAAAGATATGACATGGAAAATAATAATAATGTGTTTAGTGCTTTTTATAATGAATTTCAATTTGAATGCACAAACTGTAGAGAACGATGTCAGTTCTTCTTCATTAAGAGTAAAACTGGAGAAGTTGGAAAAAATGAATGGATTTCTTATCCAATCAAATTGTCCTGTGTTTAACTATGGAAAATATTTTTTAACATTTATTCTATTGTTGTTAAATGTTCAATTATTAAATGAATGATTGCCTCATTTGTATCCTGCATATTTCTGTGTTTGTTTCTCTTACCAGTACTTGTCTCTTTCATAGTAAAATTTAAAAAAAAAATTGTTCAATATGCATAAGTTTTCAGTAGATGGAAGAATATTTTCGTAGTTTCCTTGCATACTTATATTGACAGTATTAAAGTAAGCAAGAGCAGCGTACTATTTTAGCACAACAAACCAGTTTGTTTTCGACGTACTTCCAGACAACTTTAAACTTTGGCAGAGCCTCGAAACATGAATCTTGAGCCAGTCAGCGTGACGACATATCCACATAAATTATTTTAATTTTACAAAATTGAATTGATACGATTACTGGAAAATAAGTGAAATAACACACATTGACTGCTAAGAATTCCAATGTGAACTGCACAGGCACAGCAATTCAAAAATGGACAAAAAAAGTGAAATTGTCATTCATGTTTGCTAAATAGAAGCCCATGCAAAACAATTTTACATTGTATAGATTTTTAAAAAAAAAAATTTTAATGTATTTTTATATTTTTTTGCGGATTACTTGAAGTGGCTACGCAGGGCACCAGTGCTCCACAGAGCACAGATTGAGAACCACTGCTCTAACCTCCCATGCTCTAACAAAGGATATATTATCCAGTGGCATCCCTTTAACTTTAATCAATGTGTGTTTTTGTGGTGAAGTGTAAATTTAAGGGTTCGCCCTGGGCAGGATTTAAAGTTATACCACTGGGTTAGCACACAATTTAGAAAAGATACTTTGTGTGTTTGGCAATTTTGGGGAGAGGAAGACAATTCTTATTTTCATATTTCTCACTTAAATGTTGCACTTCCGTTCTAAGTCTAAGTACTAAATAATTAAACGATAAATAATAGGGCCTAAGCCCAAATCAAATCTAAGAGGTTTAAAATAGTAGGCATAATATTAGTTGTTGTAGTTACTAGGACCAGACCTACTTTACTTTCAATCTTTAACTAGCACTAGTCTTAATACCTAGTAATACATTGTTAATTTGAGTTGCTAGGAAAGGCTGAAATATGTGTAGAAAACTTCACTGGATGCTAAATCTAAGTACTTTACTTATATATATATAGTATAGCTTGCTTAAGTGCATATGTGGCGCAAAACATAATTTCCATTACATTTATAAGAGCAGGAGTAAATATTATTATTCTATTAATCTAGAGGTTAGACAATGACACGATTTGCAAAGAGGGGATATGACAACAGAAAACTGAATGAGCCTACACCATGGTCTGAAATGCAAGAAATCAAAGGAAGTAGGTATAAGTATAAGCTATTTTCATTTTTCAGTTACTACTCAGTGACCTTTTTAAGCCTGGTATAATGTGATGGGTAATTTTTTTTTGGTCAGGAATCTAAGAATTAGGATTTCTTGAAGTGGGTGGAATGTAAAAAAGTTGACCAAGAAAAATGATCATAGTAAATGATCTAAGGAACTGTTTCCGACAGAGATGCAGTAATTTTGTATCCATGTCATAGGAATCTTAGAGTTTGCTAATGAAGAGGTTAAAGTCAAGACAGAAGTTGAGAGAGGGAATTTTTCTACAGAAGTTAGTTAATATTCTTATTTTATTTTTATTGTTTCCTAATGTCTGTAAAAATATTTTCAATTCTTTTTAGCTGCTTATACTAATAGAAATAATTTCAAAGATAGTAGACGAGAAAACAGAAGATTGAAGAGGAAGGATCAACGTATTTCACTCAAGGTAGCTAAGAGTAAGAATGAAAGTTTTGTTCAGTAATGTTTTTGTTTTTTTATTTGATTGATGAAACTAATCTAAATATGAACTTTAATCTTAACTGTTGAAGTTGTTTAGCAAGGAGCAACCCAAAATACTTTTCTATAATGGTAACTTTAAAAAAAAATAAAGGAAATATAAATTCACAGGCAATCTGGTGGAACATTATTTCAAGATTCATGTAAATATTTTTGAATATGCACCAATTTATTAAAATAAATATTCTGGCTATACTTTTATTGATATCCCAGGTTTGTTATAACTGCAGAGGTCCTGGCCACCAGGTGTCAAATTGTCCATTTTTATCAGAGCCAGGTCAGCAAGCTTCATGTTTCAAATGTGGCTCAACAGAACATAAATCATCATCCTGCAATGCTAAAATCCCTAAAGGTAGCTATAAAATAAATGGGAGATATTTACTTGGGTTTTAAATATTAAAATAATTTTGCAGGAAGTGAATATAATTCTATTTGTGTTTTTTTCATTAAACTGTCAAAGGTCTTTCAAAGTATATACTTTGAGGACCCCAAAATACTTAAATGGTTTCTATCTTTTGCAGCTGATTAATAAAATATGTAATTTTATTTTTTGCAGAGTCATATCCCTTTGCTCAATGTTATATATGTGGTGAGAAAGGTCATTTATCAAAGCAGTGCCCAGACAATCCAAGGGGCTTGTATCCTAACGGTACTCATTCAACTTTACAACAGTATTTCACTTCAAATTTTCCATAAATGTTTTCATTAAGCCTACATTTATTTATTTTTTTACTCTTTATACATTTTTATTGAACTGTTTTTGATGTCCTTTGTTGCATTCTTTAACTAAAGCATACCATTTTTTAAAATTTGCAGGTGGGAATTGCAAACAATGTGGATCTGTTGAGCACTTAAAAAGAGACTGTCCAGAGTTTTTGCAGAGAAGAGGTATTTCACAATATAAACCACTATGATTATCTGCCGTTAAACCCTTTTCTGTGGTGTCACGGCTGATAAAATGGCCTGTTTTACCCTTTTCGGTGGTGTCATGGCTGATATAATGGCCTGTTTTACCCTTTTCTGTCGTGTCGTGGCGATATAATCACCTGCTAGCGAAATCGTCATTAAAAATGTAAATGATTTAATGTATAAGGGAAATCACTCTATAAAAATGTGTTTGCTTACTATTTCCCTTTCTATCAGGTGTTAACATGCTTTTAGAGGGTCCCCCTCTAGATTGCAAAATCAACACAGACTTTCTTTATTGGAATTATTTCAAATGGATTCAAAATAAAATAAAAGCAATGATTTCACAGATATTCAATGTGCTAATAATGATAGTTCAGCTCTCGCGGTGTAATGATAGTTCAGCTCTAGCGGTCTAATGATAGTTCAGCTCTCGCGGTGTAATGATAGTTCAGCTCTAGCGGTGATGGCGGCATAAGAGTCAGATATTGACAATTTTAGCTCTAAGCATAGTCATATTGTTACAGACAAATTCATTTAGGAAATGGTGGAAATCTTCCAGAAAAAATAAAGATAAGATCCCAAATACCTAACCTAAAAAGACATTATGTTCGTGTATGTGTATAGTAGTGATGTCCAACCTGCGCCCCACAAGTTGATTTTTAAATGGCCCATCACGGCATCAGAAATTTTTATCATGTACGTAGAAATACATTTATTATTAAATATTTTTAAACCACATTCATTGATTCAGTATTGTTGAAGAATCGCTTGAGAGCACAGGAGAAGTTGTAACATAGAAAAGGGGAAGTCACAAAAAGTTAAGGAGTCCTTATGCAGAAAGAAGCAGTAATTTATGTTAGGCACATCTGCAGAGCAACCAATTTGGGACCTGTGTGACATAAAATCAGATACTATCTTCTCCTTCTTTCTTTTGCTTGTACAAGGGAGGTGTCACAGCGTTTGGAAAGATGATTAGGGGAACCAAAAGCTATTTGATGTGCAGCTTTTAGGCCATTGTAAAAATTTCTATGCCCCACCAATTTGACTAAGTAGATGTAATAGATAGGTGAGCATATCGAGTTAACTACAGCCAGAAAAGTCTTTGGGTCAGAGTAATTGAGATGGGAACTAAAGGTGTCACAATAGAATGACTATGGTGGGCAGTGTGAATCATGTTTATGGCACCATGTTATTTGAGCAGGTAGTCTAGCCAGGTATGGGTGTCTGATCCTGCATTGTTGTGACGTTGGGGGGCAAGTACCTGGTTTTGAGAGATCAGAGCATGGTATGTTCAAAGCCGTGTTTGTTTGTAGTTATTGCAATTCAGTCAGGGAGGAATTTTGTGAGATGGAAGATCTTGAAAGAATTTTCTTTTAATAAACAAACAAAAGATGTCATGACCAAATGAATAGTGGATGAATAATGTTCCTTTTGATGAATTTCCACAACTATGGAAATGTTGTAACAAAGTTTTGACCATGTTTTTTGGAAATAACCTTCAGCAATGAAGTTTGATTCTCTTTCATGAGCAACATTGCCCCAAAAAAATTAATGCTTTGACTGGTGAACATTAAAAAATCTAATGAGGGCAGGTGCTACATAAGTACCCCAAATTTAGAAAATTGCAAGTACAATGCAAAGGGAAAGCAAAATATATCATTAAAACATGCTACAGTTATTATTCACTTTACATTGGATATACATGACTCTTTATGCATAAGGTAAGAAGTGTTAATAATATGAATAATTTTCTTTGAGATGTCATGGCCCTCGGGTGCCAGAAAAAATATTTTGGCCCACGTAGTGAAAAAGGTTGGACAGCACTGTTCTAGGGTAAAAAATGGATTAAATGTTTCAATTGATTAGGAATTTTTGAACACATTTCATGCTTTCCCCCTTGTATTTTGTATGACAGAAATTTAAAGGTAGTAAATAAAAAAAAAATTCATAAAATAATACAACTTGCAAAATAAGTACCCATAACTTGAGATTTTATAAAAGAAAATTGATTCTAGTATGTCAAGAACTTTATTTCATGATAGTTTGAACAATTTATAAGAGTATTCGTATTATTTGAATGTAAAATTTGTGTACTGGTAGTAAAATTGTTCTCATTCTGTAATGGTCACGGTAAGTATCAACATACATTATGTAAAAAAAATCTTTCAAACAGGAAGATTGTCATATGTACTATCAGAAAATGTAAACTTGTAAAAGTCTCTGAATTCATTTAGTATGGGCTTTTGTCAGTTTTGACAAGCACATAAAAATGCTAAAACTGGCTTGATGCTACAGAAAAATGCACTTGACAGTTAAAGAATATTTATAAATCGTGTCTAAAAATTGATGTTTATATTCCAGGGAACACAGAAATTACAGTGGACACAGTTGAAGATGGAGAGAGTGCTGATGCAGAGCCTAATCAGGCTCCTGTTAAGCCCAGTGATGGAACAAAGATGAAAAAGAAAACTGCAAAAATAGTTAAATTTTAGTCTTATTAAAAATGCATTGTCAATATTTTCATTTGCTAGAGCAAGTGTTGAAATTAAAAAGTTCATTTAAAATCTAACTAGATTTTCTTATGTTTGATTGTCTACTACTACTTGATTACATGTAAGGAAAATCAAAAGTATTAGTTATTTGTAAAAGTAACATAATGAACCTAATGTACAAATAAAAACACATCTCAAACTTTATAGCACTTTTATTTCAAGTAAAAATGTTAAAATGTATTTATTTCAAGCAACAAATTTAACAACAAATTTTAATGCACTTCCACAATTTCATGAAACTTAGATGATTGTTATATGAATAATTGGAGTAGACTTGGCCTTCAAATTATTTTTACGATAATCTCGTATTTTGAAATAATATAATAATTAATTGTATAAGATAAAAAATAAGTAAATACAAAAAAAAAAGAAACCAAGTTATAGAACTACAGCTGAACCAATTGTTTTATTATTTTTTTTAAGAGGAAATTACAATTTTTATAGCAGAGCTTTGCATAATATATTATAAATGCGCAAGGTAGTTAACGTGTCAAGATAAATGTAATTTTTTTTAAAAGCTGCATCATCATTCTACAAATCACCCCCACAGAATTATAATTAACAAAGGTATGACTGTTATAATAAAAACAAGACTCTTGTCACAATCCATAAACTCAAATCAACAATATTGACCAGTGCGTGGTAACATTTGTTTCCTTGAAGGCTGAAAACATAACCTGCAATTATAGAAGACTATATATTAAAGACAGTTTCATTAATTCTGAAGAAATGTTTTAATTTTTTTCTTATAATGTATAATAATTTTTTTACTATTATTTATTAACTTGATGAATTTTAAGTTTTTCCAAACATGAAAATATGCATCATTTTGTAGAGATGCATAATGTAATAAGCTTGTCTACTGTGTTGCATATTTTTAACAATTTATTTATTTTACTATTGCATGCAACTAAAATACATAAACTGAAGTTTATTGTAATAAAATTAAATGAAAATAAACATTACTGAAAGATTATTAAATTATCTATTTAACATATGCACCAGTGTATGTATATATAGATACAGACATATGAGAAATAGTAAAAGAGACTTCATATTAAAAAAATTTCTTCCCTTTTAAATTCTGAATGACAAGATAGTTCAAAATGGAATCCTTTTTTTAACCCTATAACTGTTAAGTGCATTTTTCTGTTGAAAGTTTAGAAATATAATACACAATGCAACAGCTCTTAAAGTCAATTATGTCACAATCATCACAGAAAAGCCTTCTCAAAATTAGTTCACTGGAATTATTATTTTTTTAATAGAAGATGCATTATTACAGATTACCAGTTATATTTAGATAGATGGAAATTACAGTAAAACTAGTAGGCACACCAAAAATACAAACAGAAGAATTTTCTATTAAAGGTACATTCTGTGTATTAAAAAACAAACATCTGTAAATCACTTAATCTACTGCAATCAAACCATCTTAACTTGGCAAAATTTTAAAAAAAAATTTAAAATGAAGATAACAATTGATGTATTGTTCCAGTTGGGGGAAAAGGGGGTGGGGTTAAAGATTATTTTGTTTCAGAGATTGCAAGCTTAAACTTGTATTTACTTATTTGAAATGAAGGAATGTTTTTATTGTCCAATCAAATAATAATAGTCTAAATGATAAGTGACAGATTTAGACATGTGAAGCAATTTTACTTAATAAATCTTATTCAGAAATTTGTGAAAAGCCTAAACAAAAATTAGTCAACAAAAGGCTTTTTGGATTTTAAATATGAAAATTGTAAATTTTTTTTTGATTAGTACTAAAAATTAAATCAAAATGTGTATCTTTTATTCCATAAAAATTAGACAATATAACAAGCTACAAATTGGAAAATATAGACAATTTTTACCTCTTATTTGTATTTAAAAAGCTTATTATATTGTATGTTGTTAGTACAACATAATGCTTGAGGATGATGGATAACTTTATAAAGATTTCAAGAGGCAAACCTTACAAATTACAAAGTCTTGCAGACCTGTTTACTCTTACGATTTTGGCCACAATGTACTATTTTTACAATTGTACGCTAAGACCAAGACCTGTCAGAACTACAATTTTAAGAAACCGGGTTGAAAATATATACATTCCTGTAGCTTTTTGGTTAAAAAAAAGAAAATAATAATTAAAAAGTACATTTCCGGTAGTTGGTTTTAACCTGCTCTCTACATCCAGCAGTGAATGGATCAAGAAGTACGTTTGCCTTCAGAGATAAGAAAGTAAAGATTAAAATGGTGTTCGATGTCACCAGCAAAAGTGTCTAACACTTCACAAAGAATCTGAAATGGTTTGAAAAATGTATTTCCTATTTGTTTAGAATTAATGATTATATAGGTTGGTGATTTACCGTACATATGTCATCGAAATAAATCGGTTTCAACTCTCTTTATTCTTTTAAATAAAAATTATATATAGCTGACATTCTCTATAAAATTAAAATATGAAATGAAACTAAATAGTTATTTAATACGTCAACATTTTTATGAATAGTGCTTTTTTCATTATCAATTACCTTGTACAAATAATGGTTATTCAACAAATGTAAATTTTGGTTAAGCTATCTCTCTTAGTGTGACAGACTTCATAAAAACAGGGACAAATGTAAATTTGTACAGCAGTAATTAACAAACTGAATGAAAGCAATTAATAATGAGAAAGAATGCAACAATATGGAAATAATTGCACATAAACAACATTTTAAAAATGAAATGATTTTTTTTAAAAGAAAAAAATGAATAACTCTTCTAGATTTGCATTTTTGTTCTTAAGTTCCGCTGTAACACAAACACACTCTTTGCGCCGAGATAATTTTTTCATAAAATTTTAAATAAAATACAAAACAATTTTCTGCTCTAAGTAACTCTGAAAACATTGAAAATGATAAATTCATAAAATCAATACCATTTTATAATTATAAAAAGAATCTGTTTAAATTTTCACTTCAATTTACTTTTGACTGAAGTGAAGAAAAAGTAAATCTTTTCTTTTATCAATATCCATTCAATTAAAAATCACAAAGTTCAAAATCTAAATTTTAAAAGCTTTTTAGATTTCATGAGAAAAATAATTAACCAAGAAATTTAGGAAACCATGTTTCCTGCTTGTTTCAATAAATATAATTCATTTTCTGTTAGTTCCCTGGCTCTCAAAGGTCCCAAGTCATATTTGCGTAGGTGAATCTACAAAGATAAATATTTAATTCAAAATAATTTAAGCTTAAGGTACAGATGCTTGATCTGATAGAAATAAACATTTAAAAAATATCCCAATATCTGCTTGTTCTACTAATTTAAGTAAAATTGACAGCTCACACATCAGTATTTATTATCCTAATACTATATACTTATAAATGATGATTATAATGGTTTAATTTTTATTCTGATGCAGAGTAATTATTAATTTTCAAAAGTGTGAAGTCAGCCAAAGAAATATGTAAAATCTCATCCTCAGGAATTTTTCTCTTGATTTATTTAATTAGAAGGATATTAAGGGGTTGGTAAATATAAGGGTAATATTTGCTTTGTCTTGTAGCACATTTTATTTAATTGAAGTAGATATCGAGCTTGGGTAAATAATCACATAAGTGTATAAAGTGGCACATGTAATATGCTCTCAACTTTAATGTGAAACATAAATGTTGTATTTACAATACTATCATAGAGTCTCTAATTAGCTGGATGCATATTAACATTAACAAAAGAGACCCTTAGCATGTATTGCAACTGCTTTTATAATATCCTTACCTGGAGAAAGACATTAACATCTGTGCTTTTGCTGAGATATGGAAAGTTGCCACCATTTTTCAACTGTGCACGTTTAGCCTCGGGATAACATTTACACATTTCCTCTCTTACACTAGCTGACAAGGCACATTCATCAAAAACCTTAAAAGGAAAATCAGTAAGAATGAAATGAAAATGTTAACTTTCTTGCAAGATTTAAAGAAATCACAAATTTGTTTTCAAATGCTTGGGTGTGACATTACCAGTATTGGAAGTCCATAATATGAGGTGTTCAAGACAAAGATTTTCTATCTCACTTCATAGTATAATCAAATTAGACATGATATAGCAACCCCAAAAAAGATATCAGGCAGCAAAAGTAGATTCATGCTCAATCTCTCTATCTTATATATATACTCAGCCATTAAAAATGTTTTAGCATATCTGTCCTCTAACTACTTAAAGTTGGTCAAGAAAGTAAAACTGCCAAGAGGAAATGATTTTCTTATGGCAACGTAATAGAAGAAAGTATAATTAGATCCTTCTCAAGTATCAGTGAAGTGAGCTCTACTAAGAACAACTGAATAACATCAATGTGCCTTGCACAAAGGCCAATTGGTGTTTGTAACGTCATATAGATATAAACAACAAATATTCTATGTTGACTGAAGCAGCAGGTGTGACTTTGTTGGTTTATTTTAATATTTTTGGTCATTTACTGCCACACTTTTAAGCAAGGTCTTGTCAACATTAGACAATGACTCTAGACTTAACCCAGTCGGATGCCCGATCATAACCTAGTGTAACAAATCCAGAGTCCAGGTAGTTATCACAAACAATGTTTTATCATAAGGGCAATGACTTGTTCTTAGTTGGGGAAATAAAACATACTACTCTAATTTTTAAGTTCTCATAAACAGCTTACATCAACCAGTGTAATATCCACATCTCTCAGCTTCTGAGGTTCCACATAGCAGTTCATGCAATTTAGAGTCAATCTAGAGGCAAGAGCTTGCTGTGACATGCCGTCTAACTGTAGAATATATATATTTAGCTTTTTGAATATTTATAAGTTAGTTACCTCCAAAGCTATGTGCCTATGTGCACTAGAATACCCAGGGACATCGCATGAACCCTGCCTTAAATATTAAAGTATGTTAGGTGGCCGAAGGGATTAGGAAAAAACATTAAATAGAAATTATTTTAAAGTGCATTGAATACTAAATTTAACCAAGTGGCACGGGGGCCTCAAAAAGAAACGTGACTGCTATCAGAGTATCTGAGATTTTATTATCTTACATAATGATTAATTAAATTTAGCACACACGCAAATAAAGATGTAGTAGAAAGAGACTAGGGATTTTCAACTAAAATGTTCCTGATTTATTACTTTTTCAACCATAAAATCAATTGAATCAACAATTTCTGGATCTGATGCTCTCTTTTCAAAACTTCCCATCACCATT